GGCATTCTTGCGCGCGTTCGAGTAAATATCAGTCTCGCCGAACAAATTACACGTTGAGAGGATGGCAAACTTTATCGATGTAAACCGCGGAACTAATGGCGTAATTACAACATCAACGAGACGCGTTTAATTCCAAATGTCGCGGTGCATGTACTCCACTCGCGTAATTTTCGCGAGTTGCGTAAATAATCCCGGAAGAAGCGGCGAGTCGCAAATCCAGCGAGAAATGCGCGGTGAGGACGAGCGAGCAAATCCCGAGTTATTTTTATCCCTCTTCCTAGGTTAGTACGAGATGTGGAGACTGAAAGAGGGCTAAAGTGCGGCGGCACGAAAGAAATAACCAGCGATCTAATGGAACTTCGAGCTCCAACACGGAATCGGCAGTCGCGGAAACGTAAGGAAAATTCAAGAGAAGGAAACGGGTTGTTTCTGGTGATCGGAGAGTGCTAGTCATCGAGACTTCGCGCTGTTACTGCTCAACAAAAAAGTATTCTGAGTCATTAACGACGCAAATATTTTCTCCAAGTGACGCAGAGCGAGATGTACACTCGCGTCGGGCGCGTCCCATTATTGAAGGATTTTCACTGTCATTTATATTGATCTTCAGCCGACCCTTCGGAATGCTCAAAGACACGTGATATGAGGGGCTCAAATTGCATTGTTATCCAAAAGTCGGTCGCTTCAAACAGACAGCTTGTTTGCCGCTCATTGCGTAGAATATTTTGGCGAATATATTGGAAACGGATGCGTTTCTATGTCTGCGATATCCGAGCGGTTACGCGCCGACAACGTTTACTTACCGCCTCATATCCAAGTACTTAGTATTCATGGTCCATATATGTATATATATGCGCACTCACACATATGATATACAGACTCGATATCGACGATGCATTCGTCTCGAACGCAGAAAAGCACGGGCTTTCATGCGAATTATTAATGCTCGAAAGTCGACGCGAAATGCCGAGTGATGCCGAAACGATTTGATCGATAGTGCCTTTACGTCGGTCGGGGGAGAAATTTTATTACGTTTGCGCTTTCCTCCGCGAGATAATGGCGCGTGCAAGCACGAAAGCGGATACGTGATGTTTTAAAAAAACGGCAAGATATCAGCCGCTGATTGGATATCGATTTAACGTGAAAAGCCCCGCAACGCGTGTTCGCGCGCTTTGCTTTCTCTCGTTAAATTTATCGTTGAATATGTTGCTAGGGTAATCAAAGTTTCAATTAGAATCCGAGCGATCCGCAACTATCGTCCCGCTTGATCGAAATTAGAGCCTGCAAATTCTCGATTTTTATCCGGTAAAGTGGAATCACTCCTGAACAAATGATTACTGAACTAATAAACATACACATTCGATTGTTCAAGTTTCAACAGGGGAAAAATAGTCAACTACACACAGAAAAATATCGTTCTAGTGTTGAGAAGAGCGATTGCTCAGTTTACTTTCCTTCCTTTAGTTATAGTTATCTTCAACAAAAGATACTTTTACGATAATAATATTGAAATGAACTTATAACAAATTTGAGAAAAGCTCATTATCGTGGACTCGAAAAGAAGGATTTATTCTCTTCTCAAGAATATCACAAAACTTTATCGAAGAAAAAAAGTCAGTTTGGCTTTATGCAGACTGAATTTTTCGTTTTAATTTAATAATTTTTGAGTAAAATGCTAAACTTATTAGGTCGTAAGAAATTTTGCATTGAATTTAACACGTTTTACATGTCCCAATTCTACTCTTTTTTGTATTAATTTAAGGCGAAAAATGTAAAACAAATAACACAAATATGTCGAAAATTAACACAGAAATGTGGTACTTGGATACTATTGTGTTATCTTAACACATAGAAATGGTGAATATGAACTCGATGTAGAATTGTCAAAGTAATACAATGGCAATATGTTAAATTAACACACGGATATGTTACAAATCTAATACAATAATTTCTCCTTCTCTCTCTTTACGCGGATCGATCTCAATTCAGATGCAGAATGTTTTATGCTATTGTGTAGGATTCAGAATGTATTTCGAATAGATGGTTTGTGGTGAACTTATGACAGATTTGCGGACGCGCGAACTTATGAAACACTCGACACAAAAGTAACATTTACTCGAACGCCGTCTGTATTTTTCTGCGTGTAGCTACAATAACTGCAAGTATCATTGGAGTTCTCCTAATTAATCGGTACGTTAGTTGTGTGCATTGTCATTGTGGCCGTTGTTCTCGCGACGACATTCATTCGGACTATGTGAAGATGGAAAGAGAATGAGACGGGATTACATGACGTTTGACGTGAATCAGATTAGAGAGCAATGTGAACAAAAGATTCCTGTTGTGAGCCTCCTGAACTCGTTCCCGGATTTCACAGGATCTCGTCGCGTACTCGAACCATACTGTACGTTAATCACGTGCGATAAAAAGTATTAAGTTGCCGGATTCGTCAATTAACGTGCAATTGTGAATACACGCAAGATATGTGAACAAATTTACCTGCTGATGAAATTAGCGCGATATGCCAACGCGCGATATGTCTGCGCGTAATTTTATCATCCGTTTGGCACGATAACTTTCGTCCAACATTTTCTTTTGATTCGAGTGACGCGATGCGAGATTGCTCGCGCATTCTCTCACTCCATCGTATCCCAAACGGATACGCGCGATCGTGTGGACACTTGATCGACAAGGGAAAATCAGTGCAGTTATTCGCCTCTGCGATTTCCCGTGGTCACACAATGCCCCGTTTCGCATCGGGGCCCGTTCGCGCCAACGTTTCGCCGCAGCGCCCATGTTTCATGCGATATGAATAATAATCTATGGGATGACTACATCGCGCTCGCATTGCACCTCACACAAGCGTGAACCAACGCCGAATTTGTAATGGAATTTACGTGACTCTCTTCGGCGACTCACATCGATCGTTTGATCGCATTCGAAAGATCGTAATTTCGCTTCCGCCAGTATCTGTAAGCGCTTTGTCCTCTCGACAAAGCGTACATATCGAGAATACATGAAAATGATATGATAAATAAACATCTTACTTGAAGCGAATTTAAGAAAGACTTCAGAAATAAAGACGTAAGATTATATAGAGATGATTTCGAACCGATTTTCAATGCTAGCACGCGTTCGAATGCTGACTCATTCATGAGCGCGAAATGTCCGAAACTTGGGAAGAAACGACTCGATGGTGTTAATCGCGAAATGGCCTTTCCAATTACAAATTCCGTGGCGAAAACGGCGAAAGAACCCGTGCAAGGCTGGCTCTCGCTCGTTAGGCGACGAGCGCGGCAAAAGTTACGCAAATATGTGTAGACAATCTGTGGGATAGGGTTCGTTGAGGACCGGGGAGGGATGTAGTTACAAGCGAGGGTGCTTCGCGGCTCTTCTTCGCAGTGGAGACCGATTCTGCGGGCCGAACGTTCTACTCGTAAAAAAGCGCCCGCAAATGTCTCAATTATCGCGTCATTTTCATGCAGGATCAAATTTTGAGGAACGGACGATTTGACGCGCTGCGAATGATATTACGAATGATGCTGTCGCGCGCATATACCAGCAGAACATTCGGCGCATGTCTTATTCAACGACCACTCGCTAGTCGGTAGAAGATCGAGGAAGCACGTGAATGTTGAGATCTTCGAGATAGGAAACTTTCCGATGTGTACTTCCGAATCGGATTCTCGCATCATTACGTATATCTCCGCGCTTTGTTTTCGTGCTTATCGTTATGTTCACGGAAATGTTTACGTCGTTCAAATATTTCACGCGTATGAATCATCATAACTCACAAGGTTGCCGCTCGGTGTAACAACACCGTAACAGGGTGCGACGCGCTCGTGTGTATTTCACGATATTGTTTGCATTTCGATGAATCGTTAAAATCAGCATCCATCTATTATTCGCGGAAATTTTTGCACAAATATCGAAAAAACGTACAAAATCACACACAATTCTTATGCAATCATCTTTCTCCCATCGAATTTTTCGGCACCTTGCGCGGTGCACATGGAATATTTTTCACGGATTTTTGCCGCGATATAATTATAAAAGATCTGTGGAACCCCGGCACGCTTCCGCACGTTATTGTGATATATACCGAGGGAGTACAAAGAAACTATGAGATCGGCCCGCCGATTGATACTTATTTCGCGAAGGTCCCTCTCGAATCCTAAGATTCACGAGCTTTCTTGAAATCGCCGGTCGGACTTTGCTTCACATTTTTCCGTAACTTTTGGTACGATGCGCCGCGGTGCAAGATGCAACGCCCGCATCGAGCGTACCGTCCTACTTTGAAATGCAATATGCACGACGATAGTACCTCTCCTGTCGAGGTCGAGTGGACACTCGTTTCTCGTTCGGCTTCATTATTCATCGCAAACAGTTATATACCGGCACGCACGCGTTTCGTAATGTCGAATTGATGTGAACAATTAGGTCGATTCAGAGTCTCAATTAGAAGCGACATTACATCAAGGCAATTCACGGAAAATGAAGGAAGCATTTGGAGAACAACGCAAAAATGCAAACATATCGATAAACGCGCATGTTATCTGGTAGAAACTCCAGCTTCAATTTGAATGATGAAGAAGAAAAACAAACAGATTCAAACTACGCGATTATAAGAATGATGCTGGGAATAACGAATCGTGAATTACGACTTTAATTTATGGCGAATACCGTAAATTAAAACGTGTACACACAACGGTACATGGAGTTTGATTTGAGTCGCGTTTGTATCTGAGGTAAAACGCGTAATAGCGTGCGTTTCAATGCCAAATGCAAATTGCGTCGCAAAGTGCGACGTCAGTTGTAAAAAAGCGCGTGGCGTTAAACGTGTATCCGCTCGATTCCGATGTTTTTCTCTCTTCCGGTAGCATGCTATACCGCTACGATATGTAGATATACATACATATATGTGTATATGTATATATGTATATCTAGATCAACGTGGATCCATAATAATAAAAATCAGAAACAAGACGCAGTGTTGATGGACTTACTTGTTGTAGAGCACTATGTCGGGCCGCCAAATGTGATCGGACGGCACGTGCAACATGTGAACCCCTCCGTATTCCTTCGGGTCCCAGCGCAGTTTGTAGTCGTACCATGACTTGAAACAGCCAATACAACAAATATAAACATATTATTGATATGCTTCTGCGTGTTATTGAGTCGATAAAGTAATTAATGCGTCGCGAAATTCACAGGCTGCGTATCGTAAATAATAAGCTGACCAGATCTCCCATTTTCTTCATAAATGTATAAAGTAGAGAGTAAAAAATTATTAAAAATTATATATATATATATATATATATATATATATATATAAACAAAGAGTACAAAAAACCGGAAGAAACAAGACGTCTGGTCACCTTATATAAATACGTTCTTTTCATTTCTCTCCTTCATAAATCTAACTGTACGAAATATTTCGCCACTGATTCAATATATGTTGACAACCCTTATAGAAATATCATACTAAGAATCATTGATAATTACTTATTATCCAGTATTTTTAATACTGAAAATAAGTAATTATCAATGATTCTTAGTATGATATTTCTATAAGGGAACTTGTGTTTGTCAACTAAAATAATTAATTTATCAATTTCACTCGCGAGGGTGCGAGAAAGGAAGCCATTTTCTATTTTTGTCGGAGGTTTACAAACTCAATCCGATGAGCGAATAAATAATAGGATAGTGAATTTAATTACCATAAGTGTATAATGCAGTTTCGATAATATAGCCAAAAACGCGGGAGAAGCCGATTGATCCTGCCTTTCAAACACTCATTAACATACGTATATGAGGGATGGTCAAATGATGCCTGTATTTTCGGCGTAACAGGCGTTATGGCAGGAGACCGAGAAAGATAGTAGATACCAATCCCTGCCGACGACATACTCTCTCTTCCTCTTTGGTTCCTCGTCGATCGTATCGCCGAAGAAAAACAAACTCCGCATCGTATTGTTACGTCGAAGGCTCACGTCTTTTAGCGTCACGACACACGTATACACGCGCGCAGAATATCTCACAATAGTTTAGACGCGAATGAGAGTGGATACGTTCGTGGATCCCGTCTGCGCTTTCCGACATTTTGAAACTCATTGGCGTTATACGGTACCAACTTGTAAAGTTCCTCGAGTAAAAGTTAGGCCGCGTGATGAATTCTGATTGGACTAGAGCCTACCTGCCATTACAGAGAAGGAACCAATAGGAAAGAGAGGAATCCTCAAGGATCGTTCTACGCAGTCGCGATTACGTCTCAAGACCGATTTATGATGGCTGTAACCGTTAACTTATGATGTAATCCATAAGAAACAGACCAATCGCAGTTAACTCTTCTTGTGATAATCGACTGCAACTGGTCAATTTCTTATCGATTACAGCATAAGTTAACGGTTACGGCTTTAAAACGGGCCTTTAAAGTAGTACTGGTCTACGAATCAGTCATGTATCTATTCCCTTAAATACGTGAACGGTGAGAAGCTTTATTGAACTCGTCGATGAAACATTTCATTTCTCATAAAGTTATGTAAAGGAAACAAATACGCACGGTCTGTTCTTTATAGCCAAAATGGCTGCACTAACTTGCATTAAGCCAGCGGCACACGATGCTTGTTTTCGTGTTGGATTTCTTGCTGGATGGAAATACTCTGTCTTGATTGGTGTATCTCCATCCATCTTCAGAAATGCATCAATCAGAACAGAGTATTTTCATTGAGCAAGCAAACCAGCACGAAAACAAACATCAGGAGCCGGTGACATTAGTTTATGGAAAATGGTTAATATGAAACAATAAATAAATAAATAAATATACAAAATTTATGTATACCACAACGTTACATATTTGATTTAACATGGCAGCAAATATATATATACATATATATATATATATATATATATATATATATATATATATATATA